ACTACACATTTTAGGACCATATGGTGGTGCTTTTAAAAACAACAAAAACTTTTGTTAGATGGAGAATGTTCAGCATTGGACATATATGACAAGTATTTGTCACCTTGTTATATCGTAAACGTGCGTATATTCTGTGTGTATAACCAGCAGGTTATCGTGGTGCGTGTTAACTACAGGTTTCATCTCCAAGCTCAGCAGGTATAAATTTCTGTACCTGTAAATCCCGTATTACTTTAACTGACTTTCGGTGTAACGCACATTATCTTTTCGATTCCAAAGGTGTTTTTAACAACTCGGCCAAATGTATTTTGTACATTTATCAGGACTTCAAAGCGGGACGACCCTGCTCCATATTCCGTAGCGGGAAGATTTATTCGCTTTAGAGATGAGTCCGGCTCCGTCTCGTCACTTTCCAGCCGGCAGAATAACGTCCTCCCCCTCAATGGCAGCGTTTGAAGCGGGCCGCCACCATTTCACTTCAAAGCGCGGCTGGACTTAGTGAAGCCAGCCCACCGACAGGCGCGCAGCGAGAGTGCCTCAAAATCCGCTACATCAAGAGCGGCTGTACGCCGGACTTCTAACGGACGTTTAATCGAACTAATTTTCCCCGCCATTTGCCCATTGCCTGCGGTCAGTGTGTCGTTACAGGGCGATTAATGTCCAAAACAGCGCGGAGAAGACCCCCGGATGGGTCTTTAATTGATTTCGATGAAGGACGATTTCTGTAGTCTGCCTCCGGCGTTTTCCTTCGTGGGAAATTCTTTTTCTTCTCTCCCCCATCGCTGCATGTGTGCAACTTTACTTTTGATGATACGGGTTCTGAGGCGTTTCAGTTATTGAAGTTGACATCAAACACTCTCTGAAGTCTACCGTTAATTCATCCTTATCTTACAGTGGAATATCGTCTATAAATGAACCTGTAAGATGTGTTTTACACTGGGCTTCAATGAAGGTGTTGGTATAAAGAAATCGGCGGAACTGTTTCTGGAAATAAGCACAACTTTGTGTTCAGAACTTCAGACCTTTAATACGTCTTGTGTATATTTTTCATCAGGTGACTTTAACGTATGTTTTGAAAATGACGTGATTATATGTCTGCCGATAGTTGTAGTTTTTTAGAAGACGACGTTTACGTTTTGTACCTCTTGCCAAACAGCTCCGTAGGTACCGCAGATTTTCAACAAGTAGCACGTTTTCTAACACGGTTGCTATGTATCGCAAGGATGTTTTTTTCTATTTATTTATTCATTTATCTTTCGAGATTTACGACACATTGTGGAAGGATTGACATAACAGGTGACTAACACCTCTTCAAGATGTCATCCCTGAGACCAGACTGTAAGGTTTGAGCCATTCACACTGGGAAATACTCCCCTTCTCTTTCGATAAGAAACCTTGAATTGTGAAACCTAAAACATGGTTGGTAAAATGTTCTATTTACATTTGGGGTAACGTTATTCGGTTTCGGTTTTGTATTTCACCTATCCCGTAGCTGCAAGAAAAGGGCAACTTTGTAGATGTAATGTGGTAAAACTCGTATAGTCGACGGTAAACCCCGCAATCCTGTGCAACTATCCATCGGTAGGTTTCCACAGCCTCAAACCGGAGTTCAGCACCAATGACAGGGACATGTCACTGGTTTTGATATCGCCATTTCTTCGGAGGCTATGGCTTAACTTCATTTTTAAGTCTATCCAGCATCGGGTGTGCTTTTATCCTTTCATTCTAAAGCTTTATTCTATATGTGCTCACTTGTGTTTAGTGTTCAAAAACATCTCATCCTGTACTAGTGATCACCTCGGCGTAAGGACCATCGTAGTTAATTTTAGGTGGTCACTTAGATATTTTCACCACTGACCGAAGCCATGCGAATCCTGTTTCTAGTGGCCTCGTGTCTACTCGGACCATTTTCGTAAAATCCCTTGAGTAGTCACTACAGACAGGTTTGACTACGACGCTGGTAAATAAAAACTCTAACCGGAGTTCAGCACCAAGGACAGGGACATTGCCATTTCTTTGGAGACTAGTTCCATATTCCATTCATTAATATTTAGCGCTGAACGTGTGTTTGCCGTCTCATTTTCGTTTATAAAGGTAACTATGTATTCCACACTTTGTTTCCCATCTATTTGTTTATTGGGGTCTGTGCACAGAAGACTTAATTGGCTATGGAATGTCTTCCTTTTCTGACTTAATATTGTTTTTAGCGTCCCACTATGAAGAGTCCAGTGTTTTTGTGCAGTTTTCTGTCGGTTTTCGGAGAATAAGTCCAAACATACGCCACCTGCAATGTGTTTGTTTGTCTGTCTGTTTGTTTGTTTGTTTGTTTGTTTGTTTGTTTGTTTGTTTGTTTGTTTGCTTGTTGCGAACAACCCCTCCCCCAACCCTTGTCTTGGGTATATTAGAAACCCCAATGTAGTGTCGAGGGCAAATATTTTGCAGGGGAGGGGGGCAAAACTCCGGTCTGACACCGGAGATCAATGACGTCCAGCTCGTTTGGAGCGGGTGAAAAACGTCCCGGGCGCCGCGCGGTCGATAGCGGTGGATGTTAATTAGCCTGCTGCGGGCGAAGACAAACGAGAGGTCAGAAACCGGCGCACAGGGGGCAGACATCTCACCGGGAAAAATTACTGGCGTTTGGACCGGCTTATTCCACTTCTTCCTCGTTGTCGCTGTAATTAGGTGCGTCAGAATAAAACAGGCGTTTATACGTCAACTTAGGAAACAGTACCTGGGGATCTTTTCGTTTTGTAAGGCCGAAATCGGCTTAGGCCACGGTCACATTTCCAAGCCGGGGCCCGGCCGGGTTGTTTGCCTGAACGAAAAAGAAACAATTTGTACACAGAGTATACACAAATAGTGCTCAAGGTTAATTTTCTAAAACTTTTTTTGTGTTTTGCTGTCTCATATGATAATTTTCGTTCCAAACGACCTCCCGGCCGGGCCCCGGGTTGGGAAATGTGACCGCGCCTTTACAGTCGCTAATTCCGAAATTGTGTAGAGTATGCAATAAGCTTGGGCATACAGGCAGTTTACTACTTATGAGTCTCAAGGTTGCCCTTCGTGTGAAACCACGGAAAACCTCGCGAGATCTCAAATATCATCGAAGACGACTTCCCGTACAGTGCTGTGTGTCGGAGATTATCCAAAGTAACATTATCAAACACGTCATTTTTCTCACTGGTGGACATTGAATTTATCTGAGTTGACATACCAAATAAAAAAGACTAGAAAGCATCAGAATAATTAAAAGTTCACATATCGATATTTGTATGAGTGGCGTGTTATTTTACAGATACAGGTGCGGGTATTAGGTAGTTAGGTAGGTAAGTAAAGGTTGTCTCGTAGCCATTTTCAGACCGTAGGCAGGGGCAGTGGGTTGGGCACTGAGTCCATGGCAAGGTATTGGAAGATGGAACCATCCCTCTCCTTCCACTGCCTTTTACCTCCCCAACCAAAGTCTGGTATCAATTTTTACGCTTGGGCTAAGTAAGTCAATTTGAGTTAAGTGTCTTTCCCAAGGACATAACGTCTGGCCAGTAATGCAAGAAATCGAAGCTGTGACCTCTCCTGTCTCCTCGCCTAGCCACTCGGCCATTCGACGCAAAGTATTGCTAGCCTCTAACAGACTTCAGAAGCGGCTGGAAAGATTAAAAGTTACCCAAATACGCAGATAGCATGCCAGGGGAATGGACCAACTAACATATTACGTACAGAGCCCTATGTTGTTTACTAAGTGACCCGGGCCCTGTACACCCCAGTCCCTGCCCACCCATCCATCACTCCACCCGTCCGTCATTAGCCGGACCCTCGCCTGTTAACCACCGCCTCACGGGCATCACCGCCACCAGTGGGACAGAAAACAGGCACAATTAGCGCTTAGCATGTTAAGCAGCTATCCGGCACAGGTAATTAAGACCCAACATTCCAGTAGACGGCGATCTCTGAGCGACCAAATTTGGATCTTTGGAATATGACGCAGAAGTCTGTTTCAATAGACAACGAAACAAACCGTTCCTTATCTGTGAAATTCGTTGACCGATCTGTCAAATATTTGGCCGCTCTGCGTGAAGGTGTCGTAAGGACAGAGAAATTCCCCCAAGGAACACTTTTGTTCAGAGGCCTTTCGTTTGTTGTTCAGTTCATGTCCCGATATTAACAGATTTATTGCAAACTGATGCCCGTTAGCTAATTGCAAATGCAATACAGTAATGCAGTAATAATATAATGGTGATTACTATAATATCGGATTATGCATAAAGCTGAAGCTACCTGCGTTTTTTTAACTTTGCTTTGTTTGTTTGTCTCACCTTTAGCAGGAACACGTCATTTTGTATTTAGATATACGTAGGTCAGACTGTATAAGGTGGATGAGTTTTGGCGTTCATAATCTGCTCCTTATGTATCATGTCTTTAAGTTTAAGTTCCATCCTGCACCTACTCGGCGCATAGTCCGGTGCCCATCTCTGTTTCTGTATCCCTTGGGCCACACAGTTTTTGCAATCAATATTGCAGGGGGCTATTCCAATGGTAGACTAGTGGTGTGCGTTTAACTCTTTCCCAAATGCTAGTGGTAAGCAGAAAAGGCAGTTTGTTCCATTTTTCAATCTTTGGTATGACACGGCCTGGGATCGAACTCAGCCTACAAGGCGATCACTCCACCTACTTGGCCATTGCACCGGTTGCCCGCCATACCAGTATCCATCCACCCATGCATTCTTCCTTGTTGTTATCTTCCTTGATAATTGTTGATTATATATATACATTTATTCATACATTCAATCCACACAAACAGATTCCCTTTTAAAACGCCCCTTAACGGCAGATAGAAAGGTGGCATCAAATGTTTCCCATCCTTACTTGATTACAGTAACATCCGTAAAACGTTAGAACCGAAACCCAAAAATTATTGAATATATGAAAAATACTAATGTTTAAGCATCCAGTTCCATAATTGCTGCATAGCCCAGGAAAAAAAAACAGAGACGAATAGTACAGAACATTTGGACGATTTATTTGGAAACACTTTATATATTAATGGTAAACATCTGTACACCATCTTCAAAATGATCGGACCGAGGAACGTAACATGCGGTGTTTTCAATAGAACATGTACAAATACAGAAACGGGTGACTGAATTACAAATGTATACATTACATTTCCCGGGACCTTAGGTCTTATATCAGTCCAACCAACTCCCTTTACCCTAACGACTGACCCACAGCGGGGTTGTAAAGGCTAGCCGCGGTAAATTAATGCTTTATTACTTCATCGGTGTTCCATAATAGGTTAGAAACGTGGCCATTTTCCTGCACGCCGCCGGCAATAAAAAACGACATCTAGAAAAGAGGGGAACGTCGGCTCTTATACGGCCGGGCCGCTGCAAACGAGCCTGCGTTCTTCCCGTGCTGATAGGGGCGCCGACAACAGAGACCACGGCGATATTACTGCAGAATGGGCCGCTAATCCGGAATGACACATCACTGAGGACATTTCTATCACAAAACGGCGATCGTCAGGTAATGGGCGAAGCCGCCTGGGGATACCCGGGGATATTGAGCCGCAACTATCGAATTTCCCTAAACAGACCGCCGAAAATGTATGGGGCTCTCAAAGCCCCCCGTGCCTCCTGAGAGCCGCGGTTTCATTCCTCAGAATTAGTGGGACGGTAATTTCATTACAGGCAACACGAGTTACATTGATCCGATAAATAATATGTCTTTTAATGTCTAATGAATAAACATGGCTTAATTTCCCGATTTTCCACATTTACGGCTTGATAAAAAGAAAACTGTCGAGGATAAAAAGCAAAGTAATACGTGGTCTTCTCCGGCAGCCGGACAGACGGAGAGAGGGCGGGGACATTACCGCTTCGCGATGAATGTCTCGATTCGTCCCCGACGTCTTTGGCCGATATGGAGGCGACATTAAAGTATCTCTACAAAGGACCTTTTTTCCTGATTTATCTGGAGGTCAGTAGTGCTTCTGGAGGCAGTCACAAGGATCTGGAAGTTGATTGCACATAAGCGATTGACTGCCGCAACAGTGTGGCTTTGATCGCGCGGAGATCCGACCAGACACTACAGACTGTTACTCATCCCCGGCGCTTCTGCCTTGCCAAACGGCTTCCTTGGAAAATGGCCAACCTCTAGTGTAAGCCAGCACGTGTCCTGCTTTTTACAGACTTAAATTACGTTAAATAACAACCAGCAGTGGCGCTTGGATCCTACACTCTACACCAAAAATATGTACAACATCATCACCCCAACTACAGACACTAAGCGGTAAAATCTCCATAGATACAAATACTTTCCAGTGCCAAATATACAAGAAAACATCTCGATCGGAGGATAAGAAGGGGTATAGAGTACAACAAGTTTTCTTATGGTCTAGGACAGCTCTCTTTAAGTCCTCGCTATAAGATCCTGTACAACAAACAACAAACTTAAGGTTTTCCGCTAATCCAATCTTTTCTTGTTTCTCGTATATGATCGTATTGATCTTTCCTGTATTCGAGTAGACCTTGCAACGGTTTTTTTCCAGGGAATTCCATCAAAATATAGCTATTATGTGTCTTTTCTTCTCTTCAGTTGTGCCAAACGACATCTGCAAAATTGGAGCTTCCAAGAATCGAAGTGCCCAAGATAAAGTTGTAGCACTACGTGTTATTACTCGTATTTCTACCATCCCAAACTCGCGTTTTATGCTGAATATTCCGAGAAACAAGTTGTCAATTGGTGAAGCCTTTTACTGCTTTTAAACATGATGGCGGCTTTTCATTTAGTGCATCAAAGACACAGGGCATTTCAAAATCTGCTGAGATGTGTATAACCTGGTGCAATCGTCTACCATAAGACTGCTTTTTAAATGTAATTTTAAAATATTAGAAACTCAAGTTGAACACTGCTACATATTTCAATGGATAAGACATAATGTTTCTCAAACGATACGCATAGTCAAATACAGTGAAAGGGTCTGTGTGAAGCAGGTATCGATATCCAATTTAGAACATCTGTCGCCAACAATGTACGTAAAAATGCACATATTTCCCCGTCGTATGAAGACTCTCTTTGTTTCATCCCAACTGTGGATGTAAGGTTTAAATCACAACCACCATGTCTAAAAGTTATAAATGATAAATCTTGCAAACGCCCGCGGGACACTCAGCAGTTGCACGTTACACTACAGTACTTTAAGACAATGTATTACACCCGTGTGCAACTGCAAAGTGGCGCTTAGACGTCTGCAGGCAAACCTCCGCCCTTTGGTAGCCAATGTAGCAGGCTCCTTCGTGAGGACGTTACCGCTTTCTACTAGAGGCTGCGACCGCTGGGTGACTAAATATGTTTCAAATCGGTCAACGTAACGAATTTTATACGCAAAGAATAATTTTGTGTTGTGTTTTGTCTTTAAACCAAAAACTATTGCACCGAGCATTAAACTCAAGGGTCACAAAAATTACTTTTTGGTCGCTCGGCGATCGCCGTCTAGTAGCAAGGGGTCACGGTGACGGAAAAAACGCCAATAAACTAGTGAAAACTTAAAGCCGAGAAGCCTGCTAAAGAGGCTGCTGAACCTTTTGGTCCCCACCCGCCAGGCCCACCCGCGCGGCCGGAGGCGCTTATCTGAAGCCGACGTTGTTGATGAAGGCGGCGTGCTCCATGGCCTTTTTCCGCAAGGAGGCGATACTGGACCCCCGCCAGGCGTCGCCGCTGTCCACTGGCGAGCTACACGACATCTGGCTGGACGCGCTGGTGGAGAAGTTGTTGAGGGGCGGCGAGGCCGACATGCCGTTGCCGTATGGCGAGCCGTAGCCGCCGTGGTTGACTCCGGACCCGCCGTTGGAGACCGTGATGGCGCCCGGGAGGGTGACGGGGATCTGGTTCATCCCGCCCATGGACTGGGACATGTTCTGTCGGGGGATGGAGGGAGGGAGCGGGAGGGGCGGCGCGGTGGCCACGGCCCCCACGCCAGACATGGACCAGCTGCGGTTGTCGGTGGTGTGGAAGGAGCAGAGAGACTCGGCCATGGAGCCGGGGAACTGCGGCAGGCCGTGAGACGGCAGGAGCGGAGACCGCAGCATGGACTGGGCGGCGTTTTGGCACTGCTTCTTGCGCTTCTTCCACTTGGCACGGCGGTTCTGGAACCACACCTGGAGAAAATACAGAAAGAGAACAGCTTTAACACCTGAAAAATAAACCAAACCTGGACAAAATACAGCAACAAAGCATATTGAAAACCTACAAATAAACTAAACCTGAACAAAACACACCATCACAGCACATCAACAACATGGCAATAAACCAAACCTGGACAAAACGCGGCATCAAAACAGATTAAAACCTGACAATAAAGTGAAACCAATGGCTCTGTAGTAAAACCCCAGCCACGAAACACAGCAAAAAATATCCTACATTCTTGTTAATCCAACTTCAAAACCATGTTCTGTCCAAAATTTTGGCAAAAGGGACAGTCATGTAAACTGTTCTAATACCACCATTTGCAAAACTATGTACCAAAGAAGTATATGAGAAATGGCAACATTAGGTACGATAGATCTAACATTGTCGACAGCAGTAAACTATTCCGTGTTGTGATATAAAATTCAGCGCTTAAGTGTTAAGAACTAGAAGTTAGTGTGTAGAGGCATTAACGTTAGCTCTGTCCTTAGTGCTGAACCAGAAATCCATTTTATGAAGTGTCATGGCACAGTTTTTCCTTCTTCGATTTTCTGGTCCCACGGCGCTTAGCATGCAACCTGATTCATCAGTATAACAACAGGACCAAACTGAATCAGAGTTATCCTTTCTGACAGAAATCAATGCGTTACTTTGGCTAAACACATCTTTTATTCAAGGTTTAATAGACGTGATTCTAAAAAGAACTCTACGTAAATATACATTCACGTAGAAGTAGTTGAAGATATTAACCGAATCACCAGGACGAAACTCCTACAAATGAGGTGTGGGCATACTAATAAGCTATTTCTTCGTTAGGTTAGTCTTAGCGTTTTGAGTAGAAGATCAACATGGCAGAAGGCTGACGGTTTGTTCTTAGACTAACTAAAGAGGTTTCAGACTGTCTTAAACTTCCTTGAAATAACCAACAAACAATGAACAGCGGAACGACTCCTCATAGTTTTGATATAGAACACTTTCTGGCAGTGGAGTTCCATATGCGAGGGTTTTATCTGCAATAGAACAATCGCGACGGCTATAATTAATGGTGTTTCACTTTTTTGACCCGCACAACACGTTACACCAATTTATTTGTCAAGCTATCCTTTCCTGGGAGCCATCAAACATCCCTCCCAGCCCTCCGGCGGCCGCTGATACCCGCAGTCTCCCCGTCACATACATCTTGCTCTCCCGAAACGCCGTGCATCACGCGCGCCGCGATTTGCGTTTTCCGATTTAATAAAGTGTTTTATTCAAGGAAGAAAAGCAACAAGGCTTTCGCGGATAATTACACACATGGTGCTCCGTCATCAATCAGACCACATGAGGAAAAACCTCCTTAATAGACAGTCGGCTTCCGAGGGGCCTGCGTCATCCCCCCGCTCGTCAGCTCGGCTCCATCCATCCTGGTCTAATTGCTGATGAAGTTCATTAATTTTGAGCCGGGAACTCTGGGAGGGCCGCCGCGGAGGGGAGCGGGGTCATTAGCGCTCGGCAAACTTGGAGCAGATGCAGAAATTAGCGTCTGGTTTATGAGACTAATTTCTATGTGCATAAGGTCGAGAACTACGTAAAGAAATATTGATGGGCCTTCTACAACTTCGCCTAGGAAGTATTCTTCCGTGCATTCATGAAAAATACCTTTGTACAAGCAAGGAGGTTATACTTAAACCTCCTTAGTACAAGTATGTGCACACATGGCTCCTATGTCATATCTCACATGGTTGTAACCGCTGACATACATCCATGACGTTACTTATAAGGCTGTCAAATTGTATCGTTCGAAAACCATTGCTGAAGTTAAATTCACTTGGTCCTTCAAAAAAGGTTATATAAATTCGACTGGATCTTTATTAGGCGTATGCCATTAACCAAAAGTATTGTGCATCGAGGACAAACCAGTTTCATAGTTTTCCATAACACCTTTAACATGACAGTATCAGTATCTGAAAAAGACAACTAGGAGAGAGATTTTCGATCAACATAACATTTGTAACGCAGAATTAAATTCTTCTGTAATCGCGGTTTAAAGCGATGATTGTGTCCTGATCTTGCTCGTTTTTTAAGCTTGTAAAATGTCAGTTATTCATTACAAATTGGGCTTATGACAAACAGCAGTTAGAAATCGTGAACTGAAAAGGGAAGAGTAAGCTCATCCAACTAGCTATATATATAGAGATGACAATTTGATGTCGGAAACTACCTTTGGTATTTAGGAATCGACATTGCTACCAAAGCGTCTTTGATTCACAGTTCCTAATCCTTCTCATCGTGTGTTTTAACGTTTTAACTGAGTAGCGGACGGAAAATACGGTCACTAACCGGCCCTGTTAAGGGAAGATTGAGTATGAAAAGATACGGCAAATAAGTGGAGGAAATATGAGACTATTGACCACAGAAATGCGCTTATAAATCAAAGACTAAATAGACCATTATTGGTGACATTTACTTGACACATGATACTATGATCCGCAGCCCGTGCCTGGTGTGGAAAAGCTCAATCTTACCATTTAATCGGGACTATTTTTGTGCAAACGATCTTGACACAAAAATAACACCACCAAGCGACCATTCAGTGCGAAATAAGAACTATCTCTCGTCTTCCTGGGAGAAATATTGACATATATGTGAAGAGAATATCCCTGCAGTTTGTTTCTTGAGTACGTAACATTTTACAGCGGGCTTCCGTTCGGTCGTTAAGCCCGCCGCAAAGTCGACTTTACGTCTCCCCCGTTTCTCCCGGTTCGATTTTTTCCGGGCCCTCTCCTTCCTTCCCAGACCCGCAAAGTACCATCATAAACACATTAGCCGCAACCTCTTCGGAAATCGATACGGGGAACTAATAATGTGAATGTAGAGAATGAATAGGGGCATCTCGCGCATTGCCACCGCGCGGGGGTAAGAGCTCGCGGTAGCGCTAACAAGTGAAATCTTTAAACATATATGGCGTCTGGGATAATGGGCAACTACGGTCGGGCGGGCGGGAAGGGGGAATAACATTCATTAGCTGCGGAGTGACGCGGATTTGATAACCCTGCTGGCTTCCTGGCCTCTCGTAACATTTGTGATCATGAGCAATTTGGTGCTGGATTCGTTAGACGGATATGGGATGCCATTATGAAGAGCCATCTCAGGCGAGAGGAAATGGGTGGAGAGGTGATATCCTATTATCTAACCCGCCGGAGCCGAGCGGGGACGATCGCTTCTTGTCATCGACCAGAAAAATATTATTTATATATTTCAGTAAGATTTGTCATGGAAATATTATCTGTTTACAAAAACAAAACTATACTAAGCACCAAAACTGCTATCATAGTTTCTTTATAAGTTGAATTAAGCACGGAAAGATGTTAGCGTTAGCTCTGTCCTTAGTGCTGATTCCGAAATCTAGCTGATGAATTATCAAGACAGGATCTAGGAAAAAAATTCTTTACACTTGTCGTCATTCTTTTCAAATATGATTCTGAACAGTGCACATAAAATTATTCACCGTATTAAAAATACCTCTCTGCTTTTTATAATGTGTATATCTCAAAATATAAACGCTACCTCTAAACGCACTTGAGCATTGTAAACCGTTCTGTATTGTATATTGTATATTGTCCAGCCAGGGCTAGCCCTTTATAATAGCATTTGACTAGTCGGTAGTCCTCGCTGTATACAATTTACACAGCCTTATAAATCAAATCAAACAACCTTTTTCCCAATTAAACCTATATCCGAAATTGTCCGTCTTTCATTTAAGAATCAAGAAGACCATATTCAAGTGACCTGCACATCTCTGAACTTTATCCCATTAAACCTATTGATGAAAAATGAAGCAAGAGATTTAAAGAAAAACATACCAACCCCCTTCCTTCATCTGAACTAAACTAGACAATACGTTTGTAGAACACCTTCAAGACTAAACGGCCGCAATATGAACACAAAGATGTAGATTAAGACATAAGACTGCGAATGATAAATATAATTTCTATTTCGTGAGTTGAAAAGAACATCTACCTCGAAATACAGTAGTACATTAACACTAACGTATCGGTGAAGAAGAAACACTTGGAGAAAGAACACCGACAATGATAACCACACAGCCTGTCTACATCCCACATACACACCGCACTCCCCCTTCTCGCAGGACGAACTAGACAACATTTCCGGCCCGGAAGCTGGCAGGCCGCTAAGTGGATGATATCAGCACAAGTGGAGCGGCAATAACCCGATTTCACACGTAACATGCCTGTGATCATATCGTTTTCATATTTGCTCAACGACCGCACAGTCAGAGCGTGTCGTGTCAGAAGTGAGTGGGGTGAGAGAGAAAGATCGCGCGCGGCATCAGGCTAATTCAGCCGCCGCTAAGTTGGGCCAAACGATGTGGGCCTGCGGTATCAGCTGTGTTACATAATGCTGGTTTATTCTCGAGTAGCTAGCCGATATGGTTATATGGGCTGCCTTGTTTCGCGTTTTCTATCTTACTGCATTACCAAGCCTATGGGTAGCGGCCGTATAGCGCTCATGAGAGTTCTAGTCTCCACCAGACTCCTTTACAGGCTGAATAAATAGTAGAAATCGGCTAAGGGGAACATATCATTGGCCAGAGGAGTTGGCCGACCATAGAGGTTCCAGCTTGCCCTCTATGGCCGGCCAACTCCTCTGGCCAATGATGTTCCCCTTAGCCGATTTCTACTACAGTATATATTCAGCCTGCAAAGGAGTCTGGTGGAGACTAGAGAGTTCAAGGTTAACCCACTGAAGAGCATTTATGTACACTAACGACTCTGATGCATTATGATTTTGAACAGAAAAAAACTTTTTTTTCGTGCTTCTCAAAGCTAGCTATAGAAACAGAAAATATCTACGTGGGCACCGTACCCCAGATACTTCAGAAGATTTCAGATTCAACAGTGGCTAAGTTCAGACAAAAACGGGATTTTGCACACATCCGTGGAAAATTACAAACATTTTGTTCAGCGATTAT